AGATGCAAGCCACCGAGGTGGTGGAGGCAGGTAATTTTCACCAAAGTACCGGGTCCCGGGTTCATCAAGATCATCTGTATAATACACGATCCTTTTATCAGAGACCCGGAAATATGGAACGACACCGAAGGTCTAGACTACTGTACGCTAGAAAAACCGTTGTCATAATGGTGGAGCAAAGCGATCGGATTGCCATAATATAGGTGTAGACATGATATGTTGACCGCCGCGTTGGAATACGTCTACGGGCCAAAATGGATCTAGCTACCCAAGCTAGGCAGTGTGTGATGTTCCGAGTCCCGGCCAGCATTCCGGATGTGGTGGATAGGATGATGGTGGGGAGGGCGGATCATGATCCTTGGGCACTGCTTGGGGAGGGAATATGTGTACGACGCAGGGGTAAGGTGCATAGGTGCCATCGAAACTCAGCCTCTACACTACACCTACATGGTACTACATATTATTCACGAATAGTGTACGGTGATGGAGCGCTGACGGATGAGTTTGTCGCCCCAGGCTGCTGCGAGCCAACTCAACGTCTGCATGCGCCCGAAATCTCCAAAACAAGCAAACAGGAAGCAAGGAGCGGCAGCCGCTTCAATCAGCAATGAGAACCGGGTCACACTAATGCCGGAAACTTCTGCCAAGAGACCCGCCACATTGACGACGAAACAAAACCATGACTATCTCTTGCTCGTAGTGTAATGTGGGCTATTTTTACTCCGAGGAGCAGTAGTACTGCCTGGTACTGTACTACACGGGACCCTACACTACATACTGTAGGGCGGGAAGCCGACTGACTGCCCGTGCCTATCTACGGCTGGGATTTCTACTCTGGGTATGTTGCGATTAGTTACGAGGCGCACGCCAGAAAATCTAATCCCTCCCCCCGGGCTAATCGTATCCGTGCTTCCGGCGTCTGTGGCACCTATGACATCTATGATATCCTACCAGAAACCCTACCTATATTATATTACAGTATACTCGACACTACGCTAGTTTCTGGCTATAACAGACGACGAATGGAAAAGAAGAACGACCGAGATGGCCTGATCTGCATGCTTTGGAGTTGCGTTGGTAATAGCTACCATAGCAGTTTGTAATTATAAAGTTTTATTGCTTGAGGTGTCGATAGTTAATTGGAGAGGGATAGACATCTGGAACAGCCTGGACGTATCTCGCTTGGGCTGCAAACTGGTAGGTATACGAATGTACAGCTCTGTACATGAACAGCACACAACGAGTAATAACCGTTGGGTACTCCGCATGCCAGTGGAATAGATGTTGCCAATCAACAACCGTCTCCATCGACCTAAACTAGAAACCCCCGGGGCACGCCAAGCTGCAGAAGCAACAGCGCATCCGCATCGTGATACAGAACAGAAGAATTTTGGGTTTTTTTCTACACTGAGGTCTGTAGTGGGAGGCTTCCAGAGGACAATATTGGGGGGGCGGTGGAGAGGGTGGGGAGAAGTATTGCAAATATGAGTCTATACATGGGGCCGAGATCGATCTTCGGCCTCTCGAACAGAATCCATCGAGATACGGCCCCATCTTGAATCCAAGGATTTGGGAGTGGCCTTGGGTATGATTCGACAGCAGGGGCTTTGAGTAGGTCTTACAGCCAAGCATTCCACGAGGGGACGTACGGTTGAATCGGAGATTTTGCAACCTAATTTGCCTCATAGAGCGTCTAGCTAACGACTACTGATACTATCTACTAGGGATTATTGGGATGCTCATCTTGGTGTGCGCCTTTTGATACGACGACAGCTAGCGCATTGGAGGATGCCGCCTGCATGGCGCCACAGGGCCAGCCACCCTAGACAGGCCCATGGCAGATTCACCAGATGAAGGTCGCCGGCTGGGAGATGCAGCCGATACGTACACAGATATCGGCGATCATCATTCAGAAAACAAGATTGCGGCCAGGGTACTCGGCAAGATACCGACTCTTGAACATCTATATAAGGAGGTCAACATCGCCCTCGACTATCACGATTTTCTCTTGCTCATCAGTCCCAAGCAGCAGTCCCAGGAAGCCCAATACCTTCACTCTCTCAACGATCATTAATCGCCTTTTGTTTTTTAAAACAAACCCAACAAACATCCAAGATGCAGACCTCTCTGTTCGCTATCATTGGCTTCATTGCCACCGCCGTCTCGGCCGTTCCCACGACCAACACTGACTCCCCTTACGTCGCCTGCCCCAACGGTCTCTACAGCGTTCCCCAGTGCTGCGCTACCGATGTCCTCGGCGTCGCTGACTTGAACTGCCACTCTCGTGAGTTTTCCCATTATAACCATTATTCTCGACATTTTGGTGTACAAAGGGGGTTCACGGTGAAAAGAACATTTTAGCTAACTTCTCATAGCCTCTGCTGCTCCCTTTAGCGTCAGCAACTTCCGTGACATCTGCGCCAACGGTGGCCAGCGCGCCCGCTGCTGCGTTATCCCCATCGTAAGTTTATATGTCACTCACTGCCAGTGATCCTACTAACATTACTTTACAGCTTGGCCAAGCCGTTCTCTGCGCCACCCCTCCCGGTCTCGGCGAGCAGTAAGCGCCCAATTTATGACGTTTACAGAGCCACGGCTATCCCACATGTAATATTCGGCAGCAACAATATATAATGGGGTACATCACTCTACATGTTTGTGGAATGAGGAGGTAATAGTGTTGGGAAAGGGTTTCCGTGGTGATTTCTGTCTTGGGATACTGGCTGGGGGTTTTTACACGATCTTTAGCCAAGGCCTTAGGATGTATTCAGCTAGGAGGCACATTTAGCTTAGAAAATCTTGGTTTATCGGTAGTTTCTTAATGAAAATGCTCTAGATCAAACAAATGCTCGTTCATCGACTTAACTGTGGTATGGCATTTTATCAATACTCAATGGATTCAATAATATCACACTGTTCAGAAATTAATATTCGTGGAAATAAAACTTACTATTCCTCCCACACGTTGTGCTAATCAACAGCCGACGTGATATTGAGACTAATTTTACTCAGTTCGATGCTTTTTGAAGATAATAATAATCCCAGCATATGGCCTTCTCCGTGATCTTTTAGCTCCAATGCCCTCACCGAATTGAAACGTGAAAAGAGCTCCAAGAGCCAGCCCAAATAATCATGCACAAACCATTTATTTCTACCACGAATTGGTACTCGATCCTAGACTAAGCAACCAAGCCTCGCGATGACTATATGTTTATTTTTCCACGTGATTATCTTAGTCATTAAACCATGGGTAGCATGAAATAGGTGACGGATACATTTCTTACAGACACGCGTTATATCCGGTCTGTGCTGCAGCCACACTGCTCACCACCATCCTTATACTTAAGACATATGACACATTGCGCTCGTCATCGTGCATGCATATGCGACCGCCTCGTTTGAGCTCATTCGCCCACCAAACTTGTACTACCAGTAAATATTCTCCGACTGGGTTGCAGCAACCTACGCTATTCAACGTGGACTAGATGATGCGATCAAGCATGCCCACGTTATTCATTGCACCCTATTATAATTAGGGCCCGTTCATTATATAACGATAGGTATCGGCATAAATTCGTTAACGGCTCTCCTGCATGGAAGCAGGCTCGCTGACGCGAAATAACCACCTACGTAATATGGCCCCCCTCATTTCTATTACGCTGCGACTCATAAAGGTTACACAAGGGCTAAGACACTTCAGGGGTATATAAGCCCGGGAGTCTTAGAGATCAAGACATTATACGTCTACCACGAGGACGCCTCAGGCACCTCATGGCCACGCAGCCCTAAAATCATTCATATAGGTCATTGCATGCTTAGTACTTACCCCCCGCTGACGAGTCTCACCCTGCATCTACATGTAGAAATCTTCATACTACCGTTTCGTTACATTTTACGAGACAATACACAACAAACCTGATACTAGATCTCACGCAATTCCCCGGAAAATGGCGCAATTCTTGAGAATGGCGATTCTACGTACACGGTGGTAGTCACCCTTCCAAAACGGGACCAGATGAAGTTGATATTAGTTTTGGAGCTAAGGCAGGCAAGGTGACGGGACGTCCCCCGCCCGCGCGCTGCTACGGTGGTGCGGTGCCCACGTATGTACCTGCATTCATCAATGGCGAGATCCCGATCGTTTGATGCCGATGCAATAAAATAGATTGTTATTATGCCGACAGCTCGTTGGGGTTAGTAGCAGATGGTGAAAGCGCTATCTGGTTATCACATCATCGAATTTTTTTTAAGCCGCATCGACAAGGGCAATCATCCATGTCTAGCAACCCGACGCCCCGGAATAGGCGCCTTGCATATTCGAAGCTAGCTGTAGGTACCCGACGACTTGGCTCCTAAGCGGAGCTCGATACCTCTAAATTGAAGATAAAAGGAAAGAAGGAAAAACTTCGACTCTATGATTTTTTTTGAATCAAAAAGGGCGCCGCCTTTAAAACCCTCTCCATGCATACAGTCTAGGACGCAGGGCCCGGATAATACGGCTAGTGATAATATGTTTTATACAACCGCAAAGAATAATAGAGATATCTAGCAGAATAATTATCGACAACCTAGGACGCAATTATTATTATTAGAATTCCGCTGCTTTCTACTAATAGTTACGGTGTGGGTGTGTCATGAATAAGTATCTATTGCGTAAACTTCCTCGGACGGTTGGTTTCTACTAACGACATAGGAAAAACGCGGCTTTGTTTTATTGAAAATCGAGGTCGCGTCGAAAATAACGTAAGGGAAATGGTTAGTCGGCCGCAGCCAAGCGTGGCACCGCTTCGACTTCTAGACGATGAAGAGATTGACCTGAGTCGTCCTCTGCATCGCACTCCGACGAAAAGGATGGTGAGCCTCCTAGTGCACTCAAGTTTGTGGAATACGGTAGATGCTACGTTTAGAAATGCAGGGGTGAATCAATTACGAAGAAAGGAAGCAAGGAAAAAAAGAAGAAAAGGAGAAAAGGAGAGGGAAAGGGAAAAAAAAGGAACCACCACCCATTAGGGGATTCGAACCCCTGACTTCTCGTTATCCTGGATACACAAGTCTCCCGGAGACGAGCGAGCTCACCACTGCTCTAAATGGGCACCGAGGGCCGAGCAATCGATAGGCGGTACCCCCTGACCATGGGTTCCTAGTATATGAATGTGGAGTTTGTTGTCGCCTATGATAAGGGATGGACAGAGCAGAAGCGTGACTTCCGAGATCAGAGGACGCCGTTACAATTGTGTGGAAGGAAGCATGCGTATGAAGAACGCGCGTTGGTGCAGAAGTTGCCTCTCGGCCCACGAGGTACCTAACCTTGGTACTTGTCTACTTGAAGGATATCCGTCAAATCCCAGCGAGCGCCGGGTCCGGGGGGCATTAATGGAGATACAAGCACTGAGTATAAAAACAATATAGCTTTAAAAAAAGCTAGAGAATGACAGTATAACTCTAGTGGAGGGTAGAGAATCATCTAGGTGTCGCCGCTGAATTCATCCCATGTATCAAATTACTTTAGTGGCATTCGGACCGCTAGGTATCGGCACCGGTCTAGTAGGGACGTTAAATATAATTAATGCTCTAGTTGTGCAAAGAGTTCCGATTCATATTCATCGGCGAATACCAATGTATATTGAAACGACCACATGGCCTCTTCTCTCCTTCTGAGTGAGTGGGAAGGCTCATACTGTCGCTATGCAGAGATAGTCTAAACGCTACACTTCTACATGATCAACAGGAAATATCGCTTGGGGGAATCGATTGATCAGAGCGTAATAGAGTCAAAAAGTCAATAAAATTCAATTCTGCGCATGTATGTTGTTATGATTCCGATGCCTCCCTTTACACGATCTGCTGAGATATCCGCCCTGCCTTTCTTAGACCTATCTAGCTCACTTAGTCAGCTTCACAACAATATAAGTGTACATGCCCCTTTTATAACATCGTAAAGGAGGGCCAGTAGGGGGGTTGGGGGGGTTCATAATTATTCCTCTTCGAACCACGACTTAGCCGGCGGGTAGGTATGCTTAGAAGAGAGAATGGAATGTCCATGTGTTCCAAGTAGTGTTCGAGGCCCGGGTGAATAACCATCATCCGGACTCGTCTTCATAGGATAGGCTACATAAAACTTGAAACTAACCTCCACGAATCCGGCTCTCAGATTTAGGTTAGGAAGTAAAGCCATCGAATAGGAGAAGCTGCGGGATAGCAACTACGGGCTCCAGTTCGAGCATAGTGTCTTGCCCGATCGTTCCATGGCCATCCTCGGCCGTTTTCTACAAAAGCTGAGGGCGACGGTCGTCACTCGCAAAAACTTAAAGTCTAATTGATAATAAGTTTCCACGGATCATTAGTTCATCCTACGAAACCTAGTGCGAGGATGTGACTATCTATGCCTATAACTGTGAACTCATTCCGACCGAGTGTACGTTTAGGTTAAGGCCAGGTCATTGCGAAGTTGGCGTGATCATCTGTTTCTAGGATTCGATAGTAAGTCGAGTGTGCCAAATCTGAAACTCTCGAACATATTGTCGTAGGCGTATGTAGAGGGCCATGTGATAATAGAGATGCGACTAGGTAGACTTTAAAGTGCCCCGAGTGTGGCGAGGGGCCTTCCTAGATTGAACATAGGACCAGTATAGTAGTATACGATAAATACCGACCTTACACCGTATTACAACAGGGCCATTAAAAATTAAAGTGTCGGAAGCGGGATTGGGAAGCTTACCTAGTGAATTGAAACTTAGGTTTCCCGGAGAGTAGTTTATTTTTTAGCCTTGTCGGAACGAAACCGCGAGCGCGGTGATTCTGAGTTGTGTGCGCAGCATGTGGTCAGCTACCTGGTAGCTGGCTGTAAACGTTGGGAAGATTAAGTCGTATTCTGTGGATTCTTGGGACGGCTTGCAGTGCAGCACATGGGTGGTCGGGACTTCTGCGTGTGTACGGGTTGAGTTGGTAAGGGATATAGAGTAAGAGCCTCTACTTGAGAGGGTAGGAGGGTGCGCGTTAATTGTCTTGTTTCCAATATTCTATAATGGCTTTGATGTAGATAATGGCATTTGTTAGCTGAGTTGGTATACCCGTGCAGACCCAACTCATCTTGGCCGGCTTCGCGGTCACTTCGTTGCCTAGGTAGAGTAGGGAGACACGATTTCATTTGTGGTTATGAATGGGATGCGGTTGGGAACTGATCCTTCATTACTCTATCCTAATCAAATTCTATAGGGGTATATGAAATGCAAATCAACATTTTCTCTAAACCTCATAAAACTCGCCGTAAGTCCCGCTTTCATCATCATTACTTCCCCGGAAATGTCATTAGTGATATGCCTGGCGAGCTTCGCCCACTTTTGTCTAATGACGCGACGATATGCATATGGCACAGATCGCGATGATACTGATGCGATGGAGCCTCAGGTTGGTCGTTAGGCTGGGCATCAATAATTGCCTGTGTATGTCTGCGAGGCCGTGGGTACGATCCGCTCACACTCATCTTCCTCGGACGCGTCTTAAGTGGTGGCGAAGACAGGGGTGTAGTGGTCTGCGACGATACGGAGGAGGTAGAATTGAATGATGATTCAGAACCTCGGTTGTTGAGGGAGAATACACTGGATCGTCTCATTGCTCGCCGGTTTCCTTCTTCGTCGAGACGTAGCGCATCGCCAAGCTCCGAGAGGATATCTTGGGCGGATCGTCGCTTATCGTGCTGTTTGCCTAGCCTCATATCCCACCATTTCTTATCCTGTTCAGGCGGCGAATACTCAACGAGCGTGTCGAGAGCTTGGTCTATCTTCTGCATCTTGGTGTCCGCTAGTTTCAGAGGGAAATGCTCTGAAGCCAGTGTTAAAAGCGCGCCCGCGTCACGCGCTTCTCTCTGCTTGCTTGCATTCGATTCGTGGAGGCCACAGGCGTCAGCCTTGAAGACGACGAGGTCTTCCAGTGAGATATATGGCAGCTTTTCGATGTCTGCGAGAAGCTGAGCCGAGCTGGGGACGTAAGGACACAGCCACTCAGGCGTGATCTTGACTTCGACTACCCAACCGGCCTGATGCCTGTAGAATATTGATTGGCCTTTCTCGATGATCACCTTCTTTCCGTGAGGATGAGACACAAGAGTCTTCTTCACGGAACTTGGCGATGCCTTGGTGATGATGAATTCTATACTCTAGCGTTCCTAATTAGCATCCCACGCCTTACTCGGACTGCTGGATCTTTGACATACTTCGCAAGGTCTCGGCTCTCCTAGATACTTCTTAACGGCTAAGTCGCCAGCGACAGCAAGCCGCATGTTGGTGAGCCCAGCCACACCTCGCATGAGGTGAAGCACCGAGAGGGCAGCTTGCTCCAAATCGGCTACGGATGGCCAGGCCATACCCGACGACGAGTGAGGCATTGCGGAAGGAAGGTTGAAAAGCTGGATCTCCAGTGAGCAAGCATTATGATGGCTCAACCCGTCATCTCGACTGGTTTTAAGTCAATGGCAAAGGCTCAGGTCCGGCTACAGCCTCCCAGAGTCAATCCGAACCTACTAAATTGGGTTGGCGTTTGATACCTGATGTGCCTAACTAGGTAAATTCGACACCCTCGAACAGGGATGATGACCAATAGGAGGCCGGGGTAAGCTATATTAATGTTATTAGTCTGATCTCGTTGTACCCTAAATGGTGGTTGTTCCCCCTTTACGTGCCCCTGTAATAACGATTGTCATAACTGTCAGACGATCCTGCGAGCGAGGTTGCAAAGCGGCCGAGTCCTTGAGGAATCAGCAATGAAAATTTTCCGTGCCTTGAAATAGATAACTGCTGGGAATTCTTTTTGCGCAATGCGACGGCTTTGATTGATGACGGAAGACGGACTGGCGAATTGTCACTCAGCGTGGCTGGTTCGGGAAATGAACAGACCCGCCCGAGACCAGGACAAGCCGCGAAGGTTGGACACCAACTCGCAATGGGCTTACGAAAACACGCAAAAGACAACAAATAGACAGCAAATAGCCCGGCCGATGCGGATGCGGATGACACGCTTCATGTGCACCACTACCACCATCACCACCACAATCTCTTCATCCCGAACGTTGATAAACTTATTCTTATCATGGCTGAATGCACGGGCGCTTTTGAGGGAGGGGAGGCGAAGGGGGAGGGAAAAGAAAGGGTGGGCTATTTTGCACCCGTCGGTAATTTTGAATCATGTAAGGATGGATGGAATTAGGGATTCATGCGATGCCATCAAGATCAAGCAACAAAACAAAAGTCCCTGCGACTGAAGAAGCCGCCAGCCATAGATTCTGGTAGGACTACATAGGCGAGAGGTGAAACCGATTGAGACTTTTTTTTTTGTGAGCAAACACGGCCGTCGCACGTGTGTCTACCACGTCCTTCATTTGAATACCGTGATCCCGCCCGGGGACGGATTCGGGCGAAGTTTCCTTGCTTCGTGACTCGTACGTAGCACACCTTGAAACGTAGATCGGATCGCCTTGCATCGTTCGCCCTACATCAACAACGAACCGAGATCGACCTGAGAGTACCTAACCTACCTAGGGATTTTGATCATAGGTCGCTTCGCGTTTATTTAAGATGGCTGCGGTCGCCTCTGCTGCGCTTTTGTTCCATCTATCATTACCGTGGTCGCCATCTCATATATATACCTAGGTATGTATGATATGATGCAAGCGACCTTTCACTACCTAGGTACGTATAACTACCTTAAGTACGTAGTGAATATTTTAGGAGTTTACTACGTACGTACCTAAGGCCTAAGGTACCTACCTAACCTACCTAGGTAGGTAGAGGTAGGCTTTGGCTGGGGTACTTCCGGCTCCTTGGGGCGGCTAGAGCCATGGCAAGTCCCTGTTGTCCCGCTATATATACTTAGTACATTTAGGCATCTACGCTACGGCAGAAGCTAGGGATAGGTCAAAGCATTTGTTAGCGTACCTCACTATTAAGTACTTTAGGCATTAGCTGCCTTCGCGATTGAGCTCTCACTTGCCCAGTCGCTCGCTCACTCGCTCACTCACTCACTACAGGTGCAGGTGCTAACTTTACCGGCGAATTCTTAATGTATAAAGGGAATGATAAAAAACATTGAAAACTATCTA